TGGATTACAGAAGTCTGTATATGTAAAATGCTTAGGGTACCACCTGCATAAAAAGGGGGGACTGTGCAAATTTAGTATCGCTCATTTATGAGCTATATTTCCTTTGGGGGGGTTATAACCTCTCAGAGCTAATTTTCTCAGATTAGAAAAAAATAAATATTACCTTATTCTCAGTACTGCTGAAGAATCAGATAACCCTCTAAAAGCATCTGACCCACAGAGTTTACTCAATAAATGTTTGTTGAATGAATGAATAAACAAGCAAAGTGAATGCTGCTCCCTGCCATAGAGCATCATAATGGCACTGCCTGGAAATCCCAAGCCCACGTTCCACCCGACTCTGCACTAACCATGTGGGTGACCTGGGCAGGCCTGTGAGCTTCTCTAAGCCCCAGCTTAATCATGAATAGAAATGAGGATAATAACACAAACCTCAAAGGGTTAGTGAGTCAGTGATGAATTGTACCCCAACTTTGCAAGATGGAACCATTAAGGAAAATTGGACAAAGTGTCCATAGGCCCTCTCCATATTATCTCTTACAACTACATGTGAAACTACATTACATCTCAAAATAAAAATTCTAATTTTTTAAAGAGGCTTTTGAGGTTAAATGGGCTCACTCTCTCAAATAAGGCACACACAGTACAAATAGGACAATGCCCAGCCCATGAGATACACTCAGTAAACATTCCCACTGAACCTACTGGTCCCTCCAACTTCAGAGCACGAGGATGGGTCCTTGTGGCCAGAGGCCACTGCACCTGAAGCTAACAAAGCTAATGGTCCCCACTTCCAAGAGCCCCTGTCACCACCCTAGGTCTAAGGTTGTATTTGTAATATTTTTCTTTTTACTAAATAGAAACCCCTAATTGCACAGCATTCAAATCACCAAAACCTGACAACAGAGATCATGATGGCAGCCCTTCTTGGTGAAACAATAAAATGAAAAGCCATTTCCAAAAGACCTCTGTGTAAATCTACTAGGGAACTTCCTCCTGGACTGAAAGGAAGAGGACTGGGGGGTAGAGGGAAATCTGGGGCACAGAGAACCTTGGGCCACCTGTCCCACGATGGACTTTAGACTCAACCCTCACCCACCAGGAACTTCAAAATACACACAGACCGAGTGCTGTGGACAAGATTTTTTTTTTTTTTTAAAGAAATCCCTGACTCC